ATTTTTTACTTTTATATTATCTTCATATCATTTCATATAGGATATTTAAATAAGATTTAGCATTTTTTATAAGAAAAAATAAAATAGATTTTAGATCTTTTGGCCTATTAGTTTGTTGAATATTTTATCTTGACAATAAATATAAAAAATAAATGGAGAGCTAAATATTTTTTTAAAGTTTTTTTAATAATTTTCCTTTGCTAGTCAATTCGTTTTTATCTCGATCGTTTTCTCTTGTTATATATGTATCAATATCTCTATATTGTAATGTATAATTCTGATAAAATAAATTGATATATGAAACATTGAGAACTCGAGTTTGAATTGTATAATCGAAGAAAGAGTTGGTGGATAAACGAAATTTCTCAATGCATTCTCGAGTCCGCGAACTTTTGAAAGTGCTCTCGAAATTGGCGAATTTCGAGATGAATTCCATGTTATAACGGGATTTCAAACGAAATTGCGAGGAAAATCCGACTATGCTTCTAGAGTATTCTCGTGCGAACTTCGAGTATTTCGGTATTTGAATTTACTAGTGGCTGTTCGAATATGTGTTAAGAAAATTTTTTGAAGTTTGAATATGATTATTTAATTGATTATATATGTAACACTGTAATTATTCTAATCAATTTTATCTAGTAATAATAAATAAGAAAGCTTTAAATAATATATATATGAAATATAATATCTGTAAATTAAGTAAATAAGATAAATATATTTAATTCTAATAATCTAAATCCGTTTTTTAGATAGAATTTGTATAACTTGTAACTTGTATTTTTAGGTTAGGATTCCTTATTTGATTGCGATAACAAAAATCTTACTTTATAATTAATTAATAATCAAATAATATATTTTATAAATCTTTTTATTTGTAACTTTTTTTTTTCTTAACCTAACATGAAAACCTAAATTTTATTTGATATAATTACAATATTTACTACCATATTAATTAATCATGGTTTGAGATTATATCTGACCAATTTTGAAAGGAGATAGAGAATGTATAACGTATATGAATACATGTATGTGTAATACAGTATCTTTAGTACTATATGCAGAGAATTATATTTAATCCAACATAAATCTTCTTATTGAACATTCGATCTCTGACGCTCCCATAACCTCTATAGTCGCTCGATCACCTCACGAGGGAACTATTGCTTAGATGCGATTCACTTGGATTATCTTGGGCGTGTTAATTAGTTACGCGGGTTAGTACTGCGTCGATTGTAACACTGGGCTTGCAACATCAATTCCAATTAAACTACCTAACCACAAGGGAATGCGATTCCTTCACATTTACCACCTAACAACAGATCCTTAGATCATATTTCGATCGCTTTGTTCCATCTCGAACGCTCTCGCACATTATGATAAATCGTAACGCCATCTGTAATAACTTTTTGAAATTCGAATCGATTTTTATCTGAATCGAAAAAAAAAACGAGATATCGATTTCTTTTATTAAATGACATCAAAATATAAATGTTAGATATTTGTAGTTTTTATAATTATCAATTTATTAATTTTTAATAATTAATTTTTTTATTTTTTAAGAAATACAAATTTATTAAAATTTTATATTGATGATCCGTAATGATCACAGTATTTAAATATATAATATAAATAAGATGCATGAAAAAAAAATAAACATGAAGTAATTGTTGCTAATAAAAATTCTGTATTTTATTATAACTCTTCGATTAATTTCATTATATATTTATTCTAAAATTTACAGGAATATAAAATTTATTGATTAAAACTTATTAATAATAAAACAAAAAAAGGAAAAATCAATTTCTTTATCGATCAAATTTTTCTGAAATAGATAGATACTCCATTCGGTCGGTTGATTTTTCTATGTCTCCTTTTTATTGTTCGTTTAGCTGAATTCGTCTCGAATCAACGAACATATTGAATCATAAATTCTCGTTCTGCGAAATATATAGAGCCTTTCATAACTCGATCAAGTAACATTATATTAAACAATATTTTTAATAGCTCGAATTTAATAGCTCGTTACATAGTGATCAAATAAAATATTAGTTTTAAACTAATCTATAATTTAATGTATTCCCAGCAATTATTTGATTTTAATTTCATTAAAATAATTCAGAATAAATTTAATTCACTTCAATATATTTTTTAATATCCTTGACCGATTTCTTTTATCTTAATTTCCAAAATTTTGAAAAACTTCTTTTTTTTTTATTGATTCTTAAATGATTATTTATTTCTATGATTGACCAATGATTCTGAAGTTACTTGTACCATGACTTTCGCGAAAATATAGTCAATGATGACGACGACGATGACGAGGCGGAGGATATTTGTGTGCATCGACGTCGTCCGTAGGATGGTCGCGAAAGGAGGGATGCCACGACGACCCACATTCCGTCGAATTTAATTTCATGCCTTATCTCTAACCACGGTACAATGCTTCAACTGGAGCGGCTGCGAATCCTTCTATCTTTCGCTTGTATACTTCACATACAACGCTGCACGACACTGGAGTACAACAGTTCACAGTTGTGCTTCGTTCGTGGCCGCAATTTCTGTCCGTACTTTTCTCACCGAATATTCACCACGTTGTTTCTCGTTTCAATTCATTCTTTCCTTTTTTTTTAAATAATCGATCAATTGATAATATAGATAGTATATTTTATTTTTATTTACTACAGTTGAAAACTTTGAAAACAATAAGAAATTTCAAATAAAATTATTGAAAATCGTATTAATTTTATTAGAATCAGTAGAATCTTGCTGAATAATAAAATATATTTATTCTAAAACAAAACTGAAATATTAAATTAAATAAATAAATTCTTAGTTTATCAAGTGATAAAATCTTTAATTGGAGAAAATTATAAATATAATTTTGAATAATTTAAATAAAAAGATATAAAGGAATTCATTATTAAAAATATTGAAACATATTAATGTATATACATAGTATTAGATTTTTTTAATCTTAGTTATTAATCAATTAAATTTAATATCAATATTTATTAATTTAAAAAATCTAATAGATATCAAAACAAATAATATCTTTTCTGTTATTTTAAATCTTGAAATTTAAGAATGAGAATATATTGTTTGCTATAATTTTTTTTCTTTTTTTTTTTTTTTTTTTTGATATAAAGTATTTTTCAATTTTCAATATCAAGTATTTTAAAATACCAAAATTTTAATTTAAAAAAATATAATTTATATATAATTTAAGATGTCAAAATTTTAATAAAAGAAAAATATAAAATATAAAAAGAACTGTATTCATACTTATACATATTTTTTTTTTTTTCTAAATTTTTTCTTATTCTCTAAATATTAAGTATTTTTAATATTTTCTTATAATAGTTTTTCACAGAAAAAAATTGTAAGTAAATCATACGATTATATTAAAATGTTTAATATTAGCAGAAATTAATATTAGAAAAATTGTGAAAAATAATCCTTTCATAGGCCTTCGTGGCTTTCTTATATATCCGTAAACAAAGGGTGACACTTATTTACACATGCGGGACCTCATTCACCCTTAGCAACCCCCTCTTATTTACATTTTTCCGTATTAATTAACACGCGATCACTGAAATATAACTTTTATTTCATTTATCTAGAAATATAAATAACAAAACACTATTCTCTTTTTAATAATTCATAAAAACTTATTTCTACAATAAATTTTTAAAATATTTATTATTTCAATTAAAAAAAAAAAAGAACCTCACATTGTATTATTCATAAATTAATATAGAATTAATATAGTTTTTGTTATAATGTTAATAATTAAATGGAATAAAAAATCAATATTGATTTTGAAAAAAAAATTGTTTAAATTTGATTAAAAATTTGATTTAAATTTTTAAATTTTAATAAAATTTCAAGTTTTTAAAAAAAAATAAATTGATGAATGTAAATATTGTTTTGATATAATTAATATAATTGAAGCTTGATTATATATAGAAAATGATAACTAAAAACTGATTGATGAAAGTTTGATTGCTTCTAAACTTTGTTGAACATTGATTAAGAAGTACCCAGAAATTCTATTTGCAGGAAGTTTAATTATTTAAAGAGATGCTAACTGATAGTGTCAAGTCTTATGCAATTTCAAATTGTCAATTTAATAATTTTATTTATATAATACTCTTATTGAAATATAAAACTTTATTTGAGTTCAAATGTTCTTCTATTTAAAAAAATGATTGATTAAATTCCTTTAAGAATTATAAATATAATTCTTAAAGGAATTTAATCAATCATTGCAAAAATTGAAAAATTAAAAAAAAAAAAAATAAAGTAATAAAAAAACCCATTTACAAATATATATTTCAAAAATAACACAAAAAATTCAAATGATTTTGATTTTTGAAGAACACAGTTTATAAAAATCTTTTTTTTTGTATAATATAAAGTATTTTTTTAATTCGTATATCATGTTTTAAATTATACAATCCATTTTGAATGATTGTCTATTTTAATTGAATCAAACAAATAATTAGAAATTTGATATTGCACGATTTAATATTTCCAATAATGGAAATACACATATATGCAAGATTCCAACTTTCTATGTAAACATATCATATGCAAACATACATATATAACTTCGTTAACGAATCCATATCTAATATATCAAATATATCAAAGAAATATATTTTCAAGAAATAATGAATAGTATCTCTTCTTTTAATTAATAAAAAAAATACAAGTGAGATACATATATATATATATATATATATATATATACTACAAAATATATATATACAATACAAAATCCTAAAGAAGATACATATGAACATGTTGAATTATTTTCCATATAAAATATTGTTTCGATAATCCTGCAAATGATGCCTGAAAAGATCATACGCGTTGAATGGTAATAAATTGCACACTTGAAATTGACAAGGACAAAACCACGTTCATTTATACCTGACCTCAGGGCAACACAGGTATGCGACAAGATTTAATGAGATTAGGGGTAATTTCTGCAATAGGTTTGCCAGCGCACCAAATGGACGAGGCTCGAGGGAGGATAGTGGAACGATAGGAGGCGACCGGTTGCGGCTGCAGCTGCGGCGTCGGTCGCTGCACCTGCAGCTGCAGCTGCGGCGACGACGAGGCTGCCGGTAGCGGCGTGTAGACGGTGGTTGAAACGATGCAGAGCACCGGCGACTACTATCAGAGGGCGCCGAGATGCTGTCCAGGAAGGAACGCGAACGCGAATACGGACGCGTTGAGAATCAGCGCTTCCGTGAGGGGAGCGGAATTACTGTGTTGCTGCTGCAGTTGCAGCACGGCAACATCTACCAAGACGCCAGGATTGTTGGCCAGCTTAGGAGTCTGCGTGCTTGTGCTGGGGTACACACTGCTTGGTGCATTCGCTTTTATGGCGCTGGAAGGTGGTCTGAAATCGGTGAGTATTAATTTCTTTAATAACTTTGATTTTATTTATTTCATATATACGCGTATATTTAAAATATGAAATAACTTGTTAATGAAATATAGAAAGAGATATAAAATATTTTTTTTCTTCTCTTAATTTTTTGAAATTGTCCTATGCACAATGTTGTTCTATGCACAAATTATGAAATTTTATGCACAAGTTATGAAATTAATTCTGTAATCATTAATTGATTCTGAATTTTTTTTAAATAAATTATATATACAAATAAAATAAATATTTTCGCTTTTGTATTGACAGGATTCAGCGAACGATCTGCTCGTTTCCACGGGTTCAAAATCTGAGGGAGGATCGTACGCGGTACCTAGTCTTGAAGATGATACCGCTATGGAACTGAGAGCACGTACCGTTGAAAGACTCTGGAGTATCACAGAGGATCTGAATGTATTGTACAAGGAAAACTGGACAAGGCTAGCAGCGAGAGAAGTGTTTGAATTCCAAGAAAATCTGGCACGAGGTCTTAGGAGAACTTCTTCGCAGTATGAACCATCATCTCGATCTAGGGAACATTCCATGGATAGGAGATCACATCGAAGATGGACTTTCAGTGGTAGTTTGCTGTACTCCCTGACTCTGATCACCACCATAGGTAAGGACACTTAACATTTTTGGTAAAAATATAAGTATTTTTTATGTACAATTTTTAGAACGATATAAAAAATATATAAAAGTTTTATATATATGTATAACATTCATATTATTATACATCATATAAGTTAAAAATAAATAAGATAGAAATTAACTTGTATGACTTGTCATATTTTCAACAATAAGTAAACTTTTAAATAAAAATTCTATATATAAAAGAATAAGGTAAAACCAACTCCAATTTACAATTCATTTACAATCAAAATACATCCATTACATTTCCAATAAATGTTTCACATTCAACCAGTCTTCGCTTGTTCTCTTAATAGCGGCCGATTGTGATACGATTTGGTCGATTGACGTTTCAGGATACGGTAGCGTGGCGCCTCGCACAGTCTGGGGTCGTTTGATCACAATAGTGTACGCTTTAGCCGGGATTCCCTTAATGCTAGTCTATTTAAGCACGGTTGGTGATGTCCTCTCAAGGAGCTTCCGCCGTTTGTATGGCCGACTGTGTAGACCAAGAAATTGCAGCAGAAAGCAACAACCACCTCCACCGCCGCCTCCTGTAGGCGGAATTATGAGCAAAACTTACAGATACGATAACCATGTCGACTCAAAATCTGGAAATTACTATTCGGCTAGTAGAGAGAGCTCCTGCGATGATTTAGGAACTAGAGGCACCAGTAGTGCCATCTTATTGGATTGTGGAAGCGAGGGATTGCTTCATGCTACTACTAGCTCTACTGCTGCACTTCAGGTATAACGTATTTTATTCTGAAAACATGATTTTACATTTAAAAAGTGATTAATATTAGAAAATTTGATTGATCAATTAATGAGAATAAGAACAATGAGATGCATCATTGCAATAGAATTGTGGATAATCATTCTGGATTAAAAACAAACAAAATAATAAATTAGAAAAATTATAAACGTGCTTACAAACTACAATTAATATATAACTTAATAAATAATCTAAGCATATATACCATACTTATATTAAAAAAATATAAAATATATAAAAACACAATATCATAATATATTATATAATTGTATATAATATCATAACAAATATTTCAATCTTTATCAGGATATGTCGTCGGGAAACAGTAAACGTCATTTTCATCCATGCTCACTGTCCCTATCGACGAACTCGTCACCAGGCTACGTGGTGGAAACGAATCCCGTGAGGATACCGATTAGTCTTTGCTTGGTGATTATGCTGATCTACATATGTGGTGGCGCGCTAATGTTTAACCGTCTGGAAGGTTGGAGCCTTTTGGAAGGCGGCTACTTCTGCTTCACCAGCCTCGGAACCATTGGTTTCGGTGACTTAATGCCCGTTGGACGAAACGCCGCGTCCGCTACTCTGGAGGAGCTCAGCTTGTGCGCCTGCTCACTCTACATACTCGCTGGGATGGGCCTGATCGCCATGTGCTTCAACCTCGTCCAGGAGGAGGTGGTACGCGTGGTCAGGGTCTTCGGTAGAACCTGCGGCATGTCGTCGGGGGTGGTGGTCGGACCTATCGGTGGTACAGGTATCCCTGATGCAGGCATTCGACGGGGAACCGCTAATTTGTTCCGGATGAGAAGTTATTTTATTCAGCTATGCTTTAGATTCTAATTTGAACGCTTTGAGTCTGATGATGATATATATTATATATAAATAAATATGATAATAAATAGATAATATGATAAAATGTTTAAAAACTAACAGTATTTCTATGACAATATTGATATTATTGTATACTTATATTCTTAAAAATAGGAATGCAATTATTGACAAGCTGTTGGTTAAATTAGATTTAGATTTATCAAATTTTTTGATATAATAAAATTAAAAAAAAAAATTTAGAATTTATATTAGTTGGAATTTTAAGTCTAATTAAATCCTGTTAGTTTTAATCTATTCATAAATATTGATTTAAGCATGATATCTCGCAACTATATATTTTTCAAACATTTGGAAATATAAAATCAAAAATATTTATTTTTTTTTAAAATTAATTTAATTTAATGAAAACAAACTAATTTAATTTAATGAAATATTAATGCGTTTGTAACCTTAAATTCTATATATTTCTTAATATATCAAAGGAATTATATAATAATATAAATAATTATTTATTTTTAACCTTATTTAATTATCAAAGCTTTAGCTTTTTCTTTCAAAAGCAAGACGTCATTTCCAATTCAGGCTCAAAGTGTTAAAGGAATCACGAAACGAATATCAAACTCGCATTCGCTTGCACGTAGAGCGGTTCTGATCCACTCGCGTCGGGGATTTCGATTGGGCATCTTGACCACTCTGCATAACCCCTTCATTAAAAATGCAAAAAAAAAACCATTTTAATCAAATCAAAAAGTAAAATTTTTTAATTCATCTTTCAAAAAACTATAAACCCTTAATATATTTAACAGGTACCAGTCCTGGGCTCAAGGCCGACTTGGATGACGGAGGAGGTACCAGTGACTCGCGATTGTCCGAACAAGAAGAAGAAGCGATCGCCATGTCCATGGTGCCAACATCCTGACAGCATCAGGCTAGGAGTCCCGCGGACGGGAAGCTCCTGGCCCACACGTCCAACACTGCCATAAAACCATCACCAGGTCATCATTCTCTGCCACGAAAGAAAACATCCGAATCCAGAAATTCTTCGACTCAACAGTTTCAACGTGCCCAATCTTTAAGACGCAGCTGTTTGTCTCCAACACAATATCATCATCACCATCAACATCGTCAACAAGAAAGTTCCTTACACTTCGAGTACTTTGTGCCTAGAAGCGTGAGTGAGTTCAATCTGGCAGCAGCGGCGGTTACGGACATGGCTGTGCCACCACCGCCACCTACTTCAGTTTTACGACCATCCTCAGCTGTCACGCCACCGGTACCTTCGGCATCTAATTCCGCATCGACGAACCAGTCTAGATTATTGGAATGTACAGGAACGGCGACAAGAAGCCGCGAGAAGATGGTCACGTTTGAGGATGAGGGCGTGAGTTGTGCCACCTCTACGCCCACAAGGAAAAATGTTTCCGGTTTGGAGAATGTTTTCATGTGACGCTGCAATCACGGATGATTTTGTGAAAGAAAATTTGAATTTAAGTGGATGAAAGAATATTGGTGGAATGTTCTGTGTTTTGGCTATATCGAAAAAACGATAAATAAAATTTTAACGTAAAAAATTCAATGGAATTATTTTGGAGATTAGTTGTTTAATGAATGAATGTTGATTAACAATCGAAAAAAAAAATAAATCGAACAAGAAAAATTATGTAGCAATATATTTCTTCTATGCGACCAAAGAAATGCAATTAAATCAGATCACTCATAAATTAATATAATTAGTACTTTTTCATTATATTATGAAAAAAAAAGATGATTTGTGACGGGTCTCTGAAAAAAACCTTGTAAAGTATGAGTGAAATGTTTGTGTATACATTTTCAGATTAAATAATAAGACACGAACTTCAAACAAATGAAATGTGTCTAAAACAAAAATTCATAAGGAATTTTTAGAGAATGGTTCGCCATAATGAAAGACATTAGATTTCTACCATTTACATTATAACTACTGTTACTATAATAATATTTAATATTCTTATCGCTGCTGATATTCTTCTTACCATTATCATTGCTAAGTGACTTGAAACGGACGGATTTTTTCGCGAGAATTGTGTAAATTATTGAAATGTATTAAAATACATCACCTCCTTTTCCTAAAAACATACTTATTTTAATAATGAGTGAGACAATCGAAAGTAAATAATTATTCATAAAAAAAACAAATTTAATACATTTTAATTACTTATTTTAATTTTTTTATAAATTTATTTTAATAAATATTTATTATATATTTAGTATTTATTTTTTCTTCATATAAAAAAAAAATAAATATTTTAGGAGAAAGAGGTAATGTAAAAAACGAAAGAAAGATGCAGCCTTAAAAAAACACCTGATAGGTGATTCAATTAATATTGTTATAAAAAGACAGATAAATATAAAATATAAAAGAAAGACGTGCACGATCACAAAACAATCTGTTCTAGTATAACTTTTAAGGAGAGTCATTTAATCGAATGTCGAACATTAATTTTAATACAAGTTCAATAAACAAGTTTACGAATAAAGCAACCATATAAGTGAATGGTAATAGTGAAATTTATCGTGCAAAATGAAAAAACGATATGTTTCAGATGGCATGTAATAAACCAAGTCCAATCTTTTCGCGCAAACCAATAGACTGGCAAGAAAAATATCACTTAATCTCCAATCTGGATTGAGGCTCAACGATATTCAGATATGTTATTTGTACACGAATTTCTTTCTTGACATTCATTGGATTTTCATTAAAGAGAGAATTAAAAATATCAAAAAATCACAACTTTACTTAGTTTTTTTTTTTTTTAGCTTTGAATCCTTGAACTAACATAATGCAGATTATTTAACATCATAAAATGTCATTAAGTAAATAATATTTTTTCGGTACCTAATTCTATTTATCTAAATATTTTCTTATTCTTTTACTTTCTTTTTTCATAATAAAAAAATAATAAAAAAACTAAATGATTCAAAATTACATTGAAAAATGAAAACTAAAGTTTTTTTTTTTATAAAACAATAGAATTTTTAAATCAAAAATATCATGTTCGTAATAAATTATTTTTTTATAATTTTAACTCTTTCTTGTATCTCATTTTCTATTAATATCGCATTATTTGTCGTATTATTTATTAAGTTTAATATAGTATCAATTTGAAAATAATATTTTAAAATATAAGCAATATAAAAGTTACAATAGATTACTTATCAATGAAGCTTATAATTTTTCCTGCAATGTTTATCTGTCACTTTTCTTCGTCGTCCTCACAATAATCCCATTCCTCTTCTTGCAAATTTGACCTAAGCATCGATGGTGCTGCGCTCTCTTCTGGTTTCGAATCGTTATTACCAGCAACACAAGTTACGTTACATATATATCCTAGAGAAAAAATTTAAAAATTATTTATAAAAAATAATATTAAAGTATTTAATATGCTTTCAAATAAATTTTTTCACATGGAAGAAGAACCTCTAATCTTATCCATTAAACCTTCGCCTTTTTTTACTTCTTCTTCTTCGTCAGATTTTTGCATTATATTTTGATAAAAAGTAAAGCCAATGTCCATTGCGTGATTAACTATAAATTGAAGAGTACAAAGGACCATAATAAGTAATATTGGTAAGCATAAAGTAGTTTCTACATCGTCCAGGAAAAGATTCAGCCATTCCGGTAATAAATCGCAGCTCATCTTCGATTAAAAATGTCAACAAAATTCTGGAAAGCGTTTAATATAATCCTTTACTTCATACAAGTACTTAATAACAATCTTCTTAGACAAATTGTTTCGTTGTCAAAGCGGGTTTCGTTGCGAAACAATTTCGTGAAGCATATTCTTGTTAATTTAGCTGAAGAAAGAAGTCATGCCGAAATACACTTGGACGTCTTTTTTACAGCACTGAATCAGTTCAAAAGCTGAATGTTTTATAAAATCGATTATCGAATCACTTATGAACTTCGATTTTGTTAAGAATTTTGTCAATAAATAAATTTAAATGAGAAAAGTTCAAATCGAAATCGATTTTAAAAAAAGAAACATTCAAAAATTTTATTTTACAATAAAGCAAGAAAGAAAAATTAACATAAAAATCAAACTTGTTTTAGATTTAAAAGAATAGAACTATGTATATTAAATATAAGACGCATCTGTTTCGCCATCTAGTTTATATCAGTGAAAATTGTAACATAACCTCTATGTTACGAATGAAATAAACTTTGTTCATATGCAGTTATATAAGTTTAATATAAATACATTATTACTATTGCAATAAATTTTTTTTATGAAACAAAAATGTCTACTCGTTGGTAAATATACATTTTTCCTGTAAAATAATAATAAAATTAATATACGATTCAAAATACATTTAAAACATATATATTGAATAAACTATTATATTAAATTTATATATTATATACATGATTTTATTTAATTTTATAGGTATCCTTTATATCAAAAAGGTAACCCACAACTTAGAATATTTCTTCCAAATTTTTGGATGAAGCTTGTAAAACCACAACATAACCAACCAAAAAATATAGTAGAATTTCACGTTTCAATGGAAATGACAAAATTTGATATAAAAAATTATTTAGAAAAAATTTATGACGTTCATCCTATGTATGTGAATACTAGGATTGCTCTTGGAAAAACGCATAAGCCAGAAAAATTTGTTGTTAAAGAAGATGATATAAAAATAGCTTATGTAGTTCTAGTAAGTATTAAAAAAAAAATTCATATGTTTAGTAAAAATATTTTTGACATTATATGATATATATTATATTAAATAATTAAATAATATTTAAAAAACATATTATTATTTTTAGCCCAAAGATCAATCGTTCGAATTTCCTAATATAGTTCCTAAAGATTCAGAAGAGAAATATAAAGACCAAATGGAACAAACAGAAGCTAACTTTCGTAAGTTTACAGAAAAAAATAAATGCCCTGGCATTCCCAGTTGGTTTAAATAAATTTATTTAATATAAAAATAAATAAAGTTTAATGATATTAATCTGTATTTGTCTTTTTATGTCTCTACATTTGTTACAATAACATAAAATAAATACATTGTTATTATAATAAAAATAGTTGAAATAAGTAAACAAAATAATGATAGAATATATATCTACTCATGATAATAAAATATGATAATAAGAATAAGAAAAATATTATTAATATATTTTAACATCAAATTAAATAAAGAATATGATATTTTTAATATTTAATATTCACTCAACATAAAACCATATGACTTACATTGAGGACATTGAGCAATGTCAAGCAAAAAAATTGTCTGCAAAAAGGAAAGAAAAAAATTACTAAAAATTAAAATTAATTAAAAAGGAAGTAACTTCTTTTCATTCATACTTCATTTAAGGATATGATACATCAAAGACAACACACCTGTGGATGAATAGGACAGAAATAACGTACTCTGCCCTTTGTCAAATAACCACAAACATTGCAGAGCACAAAACCATGTGGTCTATTACAAAGGCATTCATTGGAAGATAAATTGCTTTGTGCTATTCCTCTTCCTCTAGCCATTCTCATTGGATTACGATTGCCAAATTTTGAATTGAAATACATTTTGTACTTTCCTAATTAAATCATTGAACATTTATTAATCAATAATTATAATACAAATATTTTTTAATAAATATTATAACAGCAAATAAATAACAATTTGTATATATCTTGAGAAATATTAAAGCAAACGGAACACAGAAAAATTTATTTTTAATTAGTATTTCTTAAAATGCATTAGTAAATACGAAATTAATAAAAGACGCATTTCGAATCATAAATTCATGACACAAATTCCAATGCGCAAACATGATTCACTCGTATATTCACGACGGTTTTGGTACTCTCGAGCAACGTTTAATTTCCGGTTTGCAAGTAATAATCGCCTCTTTGTAGTTCGCTTTTAACGTTTAATTCGCATCGTTTCGTCAAAATGAAACAGTGTTTCGAACAATACGTTTGCTATACGTAAAAGATATTACGATACGACTTCAAAATAATAACTGACCACAAAGAATATGTGAAAATCCGTATTATCGATATATTAAATTTCTTTAGATCTCAATGTCTTCTTAAATTATTTATCAAATGTCTTTTTAAAATATTTATCTTTTTAGATAATTATAAAACAATTTTTTAAATGCACATATACCTTTAACAACCACTTGTTCTTTCAAAATAATGAATCGCGAAAAACACTGTAGTATAAATAAGTATTTATTGTCACATGAATTTAAATGCGAAAAAGAAATTTAAAAGCAAAATAATTGGTAGCACAATTTGGAGATATCACGAATTTAAAATGATTTTTTATTTTTAGTACAAGAACTATACGATTTCATACGTCTTACCGGTCGACACGCTAGCGCGTTTCTGGCACGTAAAATGATCGGTCAACAGAGATAGAAAAAAAATAAGAACGAAGTATAAACACACTTGAAATCAGCCGGTTGTTCTTTAACATGAAAACAAACTATTCATTTCGGGCTCAAATGTTGATTTATCATAATATAACCAAATCAGTCTTTTTTCAATAGAAAAAGGTTCTGTTCCCTAACGAAAACGATTGAATTTTTCAAAATTATGATCGATTTGCAACGAAAAGGATGTTACAACAAAAATAGACATGGCAAGAAGGTACTCTAAAACGATAATCGATCATTTAATCGACTTAATTTAGAACTCTAAATACACAACAAAACTTTTATTTGCTAAAATATTATAATTATATGTAATATAATATAATTAATTTTAATATTAATTTATCAGATAATATTAAAATATATATTGTAAAATAATTAAATTTTAAATAATTATAGATTAAAAGATAACATGTATGTTAGAAAGAAAATAAAGTAAAAATACTGTAAATTAAATATAAAATATTAACCGACTGTGTTTAACTTAAATTTTATTATTGACTCATTTTTGTTTGTTTATCATATTCGAGGATCTCCATGCGCGGGAATTCGATATATATACATAAATTTTCGAATTTTGTGTATCCACGGTGAATCGATTTAACTCGTAACACTAAAAGGCATGGCGTCCGGTACAGTAGTAGAAAATAAACGTGTAGCAAATTTAAACATATCTAATAATCATGGCAGGTAAATGAAAATGAAAAATATATGAAAAAAAGAATTTATATTATATTATAGTCATTATATTATAGTTAATAATTGGATCTAATTATTATAAATGGAGGAAGAAATTATTTCAATATTAATGTGATTAGCTATATTTCCTTTTTCTTCTAGAAAAATTCTAAACGTTTACAGAGTATCGACAAGTGGAACGGACAAAACGAAAGTGACATTTTGTACAGATGTGGACAAGTCTGTAATCGTACATAACTTTGAAAAGAGAGGATGGGTTCAAGTTGGTCCGGAAGATGATTGGAATTTCTATTGGTAATAACAATTTAAAATTAAAAATATTATTTTTTTATTATTATTTTATGTAAAAAATTTTTATTAATAATTATTATTGCTTTATGAAATAAAAAGAAATAAAAAGAAATTAATTCTTATATAAATAAATTATTTTGAAATTATTATAGGGCAGTCACGCAATCATGCAGAAACATATTCAGCGTAGAAACTGGCTATAGGATGGATGACAAACAGTTAAATATCTTTTATCAAAAATATAATAAATTTTGATATATATCAAATATATATCAAATTATAATATATATATATATCAAATATATATCAAATATTAAAAGTTTTGATATATATCATATATTGCTTTTAGAATAATCAATCATTTTCCGAATCATTACGAATTGACACGAAAAGACCTTTTAGTAAAAAATATAAAACGTTATCGGAAGGAATTAGAACGCGAAGGAAATCCTTTGGCGGAAAGAGGAGATGGGAAATATATTTATCTTGATTTCATACCTGTTACGTTTGTTTTGCCGGCAGGTAGAATATTATTATTATACCTATAATTGATATATCTAACGTGATGAATTTATCTTTAGATTATAATATGTTTGTGGAAGAATACCGTAAATCACCGCAAAGCACATGGATCATGAAGCCATGTGGAAAATCACAGGGTGCTGGTATATTTTTAATTAACAAATTAAGTAAATTGAAAAAGTGGTCTCGAGAAGCAAAAAACCCATTTAATCCAAATTTGACAAAAGAATCATACGTAATATCTAGGTACAAAATAATATTTTGCAATTTATATTAAAATAATTAGAAATATTTATTTATTTTATAATAAATATATAGATATATTGATAATCCGCTTCTTATCGGTGGCAAAAAATTTGATCTTCGTTTGTATGTTCTTATTACATCTTTTCGGCCATTGAAAGCATATCTGTTCAAATTAGGATTTTGCCGGTTTTGTACAGTTAAATACGATACTAGTATTCAAGAATTGGATAATATGTACGTTCATCTTACAAATGTATCTGTGCAAAAACATGGTGTAAGTAAATTTTTCCTTTCTTGAAAAAAAAAAAAAGAAAAAAGAGATAAATAAAAAGACTCAATATTGCAGGAAGAGTATAATAGTAAGCATGGTGGTAAATTAAGCGTGCATAATTTAAGATTATACTTGGAGAGCACGCGTGGTAAAACAGTTACAGAAAAATTGTTTGCAAACATCACTTGGTGCATTGTACATTCTTTAAAAGCTGTCGTTCCAGTTATCGCAAACGATCGACATTGTTTCGAGTGTTATGGCTATGACATCATTATCGATAATGATCTTAAACCATGGCTTATAGAGGTTTTAAAATCTTTTGATAATTCTTTTTATTTTATAATTAAATATTTTATAATTTCATTATTTTACTATTTATAATATTGATTAAGATAATATTTGGCAATTATGAATATATTTATTATATTTCTGTTATATATTAATTCTGCACATATAAAACTATATGTAATCAAGAAATAGTCATTTGTATTTATATTAAATGCAGTCACATATTATATATATGAAATATTGTGGATAATAAGTGGGCAAATGTTTTAAAAAAAATTGTTATTTTATCATATTGATCTATAACTAACATGCATGTCTTTAATCTTTGCGAAGTTTTCTCTTTTTTCCACAGAAAATGAATCCTGTACAAGAATTGATCAATATTTTTTATTGAGTTCGCCTTTGATGAAATATATTTAAAATACATTTTTCTCAAGATATGATCTTATTGAACTCATTCTTACTACTGCATTATATGTATTTTCAAACTTCACTCGTTTCATTTCTTCTTGTTTTATCGTTTCACGCTAATTCTTTTTCTATTTTTAGGTAAATGCGTCTCCATCACTGACGTCTACTACAGTGAACGATCGAATTTTAAAATACAAATTAATCGATAATATAATCTCAATAGTCGTTCCACCCGATGGTGTCCCAGAGTAAGTTTTCACATTAATCTCACATAAAATCAATTTTTTCAATATCACTTAAATTCGATTTTCGACAGCGTAAGATGGAACAAATCTCCACCACCGGAAGCACTCGGAAATTTTGAACTTCTCTTAGACGAAGAATTATGCACTCAAGAGGACAAAGAGTATTCATCAGCAAAATATCGAAGTTCTTCAAGCAAATGGAAATAAATATTCAGGTGTTCTCAATTAACGAGAAGAAGAATTAATAATAAACGTTATTTTATGCGTATATTAATTTATGAAAAACATGTATCCCTTTGATATGAAGTATCGAAAGGAGGTTCAAAATACGAGGCATGCGTAGATGATACATGTATGGTTCGTTGGTTTCTATCGTCAAGGCGCATGTACCAAATCTTCGAAATGCATATATTCCAACTAGTTTATTTTATTCACGTACACTATAATTTATCCTAATTTATTAAGATTTTCCAGACAAAAGAAAACACATGTGTGATTAATACTTAACACAATAAATTGTGTAACAATTTTGCGTTATAGTGGCACAAACGCGTTGTACCAATTGGTATATAAGGGTGAATCTTCTTCGGGGTTGGTTTAGATGTATTCTAACTGGCGTTCGTCACGTGATTCTCTTTGCAATACTTGTGATGGAATAATGTTAAAGCAACTAGGAACGAATCTTTTTCACTAATAATCTTTAATCGCGAAAATCTCACTTTATTTCTTAATAAAATTAAATCATGTTAATCGAATGTAACGTTTTCGTATTGTTAAAATAATAATCACAATAAAAAAAGAATGGAGAAGAATCTGTACAAACAGGTGTTGTATGTGAGCGCAAAGTTTCTAATAATCGCAGTGATTTCTCAGACATTGGGTTCCGTTAACGTGTCACCAGGTAAGATTAAAGTATTCGATTAATTTTTAAAATTTATATTAATAAGGTATATATGAAAATTTTATCTATTCTTTTATTATCACAAATTATTGTTAGTCTATCAAATTAAAGAATAAGAAAAAATATAAAATGATAAAAAAAATTAAAACATTGCAAAGAAAATATTATTAAAATCACACATTCTTTTTTGCAATTTTCTTTTTTTTTTTTTTCGTATCGCGAGCAATTGCTTATATGAATGAAATTATTCATACTTTCTGTGCGATTTAATTTAATGGCTGACACAGCAACGATTTATTCTACTACTACGTTTGACTGTCGATTCAATTTCTGTTAAATATAATGGCATATCATGTGTCTCATTTGAATGTTATAATTTTCTCCATTGATTTTATAATAATTATAATTTCATAATCTTATATAAATGATTATATGTTACAAATTGGTTTTCCCTTTTTTTATTTATCCAGACAATTATGAATATCCTCTGAAGATTTACAACGTCGGTGTTCTTATGGCTTCCCATTTGAACAGTCCCTTCGATCTCGAGAGATGCGGGCCAGCCGTGGATCTGGCATTGACCGAAGTAAACGATTTCTTAAGCATCCACAACGTGAAATTGCGCAAGGTTCAAGAAAGGTAAAGTGAATTAAGAAAATTTTTTATCTCTTTTCCTTTATCCCCGATATATTTTATAGGAGAAAGAAAAGTAATGAGATAAAATAAATTATACGACTTGTTGAAAATTGAAACGTTAAATGTTACCACTATCATTTACTACAAATCATTTTTTTAACATAAATATAAATTTTTGAATAAAATTGCAAATTTGATGCGTTCTAATCTTACATTTTTTTACGTTTTCTTTTACGTTTTTTTACGTTCTCTACGTTTTCTAAAAAAAAATACATTTTCAACTGTTATTTTTTATTTGAATAAAAAAAAAAAGAAAAAAAGTAAACGTTCTAGATTGCGCGTACGCGTGACCATGTGTAAACTGACTCACTTTTGACCACGTGTTTCCATTCCTTCCATATCATTACATTAATCCAATTGAACTGTTTTGCACAAACAGAATTTTCTCGAAAAACAAACTTTTGATGATCAATTCATTTGATTTTCATAAAATGAGAATAGCCGCTTGAGAGATTCGAATGAAATTGAAAAAGCAATTTGATTTAAATATATATAATAATTTGAGAACATGAAAAAAAAAAAATACCGAATATTAAAAATTCTAAATATATCCATTACCAAAAATATTGATATAAGATTAATAGTAGTATGAAAATTAACGAAAAATAGAAATTCTTAATATCAATTATGCCAAATACAAAGAATATAGAACATCGATTTGAACAACATATTATTTAAAATCAAATACCAAATAACTTATATATTTACCAATCGAATATCAAATTTTCGAAACGGAAAGCAAAATTAAAACACAATTTTACAAACGAATTTTCATTTTTAGCAAAGACGTAGAATTAGAATAATCGGAGAGAATTGATAAATCCGCATTACGATTCGTTAATTCGAAGGGAACGAAAGGGAAGGATTACTGAACGTGATAATTTGCCCAGTATCCAATCATTGCCCCATTCAACGTCACCGATTAAATCTATCATTATTCCTCGTCGTTCCTTACACTTGGAATGACACTGCAACTCTGCCAACCCCTAACAATTATCAATCATTCGATGGGTTATACTACGTTTCGAAAGTTCCATGGCTTCTCTCGTATCTCCATCCCCTCATACGAACATCACAACGATTTCGATCGTTTTTCCCTTATCCCTCTGCCTCCAGGTAATTCGATCTATTTACACATTGAAACACGATCATCCATCAACTCTTACCCTTCTTCCTTTTCTCGCTATTGTTCGATCTTTACAACCAATGTGTCCGCTTCTTTTTTTATTCTAACGTTAGGTTACGATAGAATTGCGTCGTGGAAAAGCGTTCCACGGAGAAATATCTACTAAAAGATAAAAGATTGCCGATAAATAATGGGTCGTGAGGTCATATTAAAGAGGATCTTTTTCTTTTCCTCTCGTGTATGAAAAATAAGAGAGGAGAAAAAAATGATCGTAGTTTTTTTATTCGAAATTTTATGATTATTTATCAAGATTATTTTCAGGATGTATCAGATTTTCCCAATTAAATTATGTCAAGTATAAAATTATACCATGTTCAATCAAATTTGATACAAAAATTAGAATAAAGATAAAAAATATATGCTGTCTATTTATAAAAATATAAAAAAAAAAATAATTTATAGTTATCCATCGTGCAGCGGAGCCGCAGCACCAGGTTTGGCGGCCGACATGCACTTCCGGGACAATGTGATCGCTTTTATCGGTCCAGCTTGTGCTTTCGCTCTTGAACCTGTGGCACGACTTGCTGCTTATTGGAATATTCCTATAATTACCGGAATGGGTGACCAAGTACTGTTTATTTTCATTTAATCCTTCAATTAATCTTCAATTGTTTATTTCATAATAAATTAAAAAAAAATATAAAAGATTTTAATATTAATTACGATAATATTAATACAGTTTCTTAATAAAAAATATCACACAATTGACAAATTTTTCATTAATTTCTTACATTATATCTTAATTTAAAGAGCAAAAAAATTTTGAATTTTTACAACCTCTATAATATATATATATAAATACCTTTAAAAATCTCAAAATTTTTTTCTTTATCTATATAAATTTAATTTTTGAACGCAATATTACATAGTTATTTAATCATATTTTATAATGTAATTTACATATTTTAAAATGTAATTTAATCTTATATTATGTCAATAAATGATAATTAGATTATTTTCGAACAATTAAGCCGCCATCAGAAGGGGAATTATCTGTAACATCGGGCATTCTTGGAAGAATCAATAAATGGAGAAACGAAAGCTCGGTAAAAAAGATTTTAATCTCTCTTTCTGCGTTCATTACTTTAATTGACTGTGTTATTCGTTTAATTATAGCATGGAGCGTACGCATTCGGTTGGAAAAGAATGCCAGATTCTTATGATATTTTATTCTTATTTGTAACTCTCTTAGTAATTAATTATATGCTCCTTGTTATTCGAAATAAAATAAAATACATATAAAATAAAAAAATAAAAGAGATTATCTATTGCTCTAAAAATTATATGGAATAAAATTTCAATATTTATTTTTTTTTTTCTTTAAGGGAATATTTAAAGATAAGAGCAAATATCGAACATTAACAAGAATGTCCTACTGTCAGTGTCGACTTCGATTGGTATTCTCTAGTATTTTTAAAGAATTTGGATGGTCCCACGTGGCGTTAATATTGGACAGATCAGATTTATTCTCGTGGACAGTTGGAAAAAATTTGGAATATGGTTTAAGAAAAGAGGGATTGTTAAAATTTGTGAGAGAACTAGATGGAAATTTTGAAGATGAGTCGTACCATTTTTACTTACGCGATGCTAGTATGTATGCAAGAGGTAAATGTTCCAAAATTTATTTCAATTTTGTTATCATTGATTTAAGTATTTATCACTTTATTGTGTATAATAAATTTTATGTTGGATGTATCTTAAATTTTTTTCAAATAAATTAACTTTTCTTTTTATTTTTTTATTGATATGCCATTTATTTTTCTGATAGTGTTGATTCTTAGCGTTCGAGGAACTCTGGTCAGGAAATTCATGTTGGCTGCTCACGATTTGGAAATGACGAAGGGAGATTGGGCATTCCTCGATGTTGAAATATTTCAAGTAAAAATTTCTTTATTTTTCCTTTTTTTTTCTTTTTTTCGTCAAATATATAGTGTAAGATTTATTTGGATTAAATTAGGAATTTAAAAAAATTTTATTTAAATTTAAATTTAAAAAACGTCACGGTTACAGGATGTTTTTATTTAAATGTAAAATTGATTTACATCGACTGATAAAATATTTTATTTGAATATACAAATATTTTTAAATATAATATTTTCTTAATCTGTAAATTATTTATTGAATTATATTACTATATTATTTTATTGCATTTTATTGCATTATTTAATATATAATATATTTATTGTTATATAAAATTATAACTATACTTATTTACAAATATAAAAATTATCTTTTTTAAAAAAAAAATCAGGGATCCTATTGGGGTGATCACGATTGGGAAGTTGGTGATGAGGACGATACCATTGCCAGAAAAGCCTATGAAGCATTGCTCAGAGTATCTCTTTTGCAACCAACAAGTCCAAGATTCCAAGACTTCGCCGATACTGTTCGTCAAAGAGCTCAAACAGATTATAATTATTCTTTCTC